GGGGAATCATGATCGTTTGAGAGGATTTCAAACTTTCTTTCCAACCTTGTCACTTCTGGAGGATATCATTGGGCAGCTCGCTATCCCACTCAATCTGACGTCTCCACAACTCTTGGATGATCACTTTCGCCTTTATTACGTAGGGCGCGGCAAGGCCTAGGGGATCAAACACGCTACTCGTGGCACTCAATATTCCTCGCTTGGTGTTTGGGAATTTACTCTTCGCTGGTTCAAGACTCAGCAGATCTTGCTCTGCACACCACTTGACGCCTAAGGCTCTTTCTTGAGGCAATCCATTACGATCTAAGTGAATAATGTCGCACGCCACTTCTGACGAAGGGATTGCTGTGAGCACTTCTCGGCTGTTTGACATCCACTTCGTTAGGCGAAACCCGCCAGTTGCTAGGATTCCTATCAAATCTTTAGCCAGACCTGTGGCTTCATCGCAGTTTTGCTTCGATGCTAGGAGGTCATCCATATAGAAATTACGTCGAACAGCGTTGATGGCATCCTCGCTGAATTTCCCTTGCTGATCACGAGCAGTTCTCTGCAACGCATAGTTTGCGCAACACGGTGAATCCACAGCGCCAAACACGTGAACAGTCATCTTATATTCACTTGGTCTCTTCGTTTCATCTAAGTCTCTCCACAAGAAGCGCAAAGAGTCTCTATCTTCTTCACAAACTCTCACTTGATGAAACATTTGTTCAATGTCCGCCATCACGCCGATCCTTCCTGTTCGAAATCTCATAAGGACCCCTACCAAACTGTTCAACAGGTCGGGGCCAGTCTGAAGCTTGTTATTCAAGGAAACACCATCAAATTTTGATGCGGCGTCAAAGACCACACGAACCTTTCCAGGCTTGTTTGGATTAACAACTGCATGGTGTGGTAAGTACCATGTTTTTGGGGTTATCACTTTGGCCTCTTCTTTTGTCATCCTTTGGGCGTGTCCTTTAGTGACATAATCGTTGGTGACATTCTGAGATTTCTCTGCTAGATCTGGGTTTTTCTTGAGTTTCTTCTCAGTGGAATGAAGTCTTGAAACTGCCATAGCATAATTGGTAGGCAAGACTGGTTCACATTTCCATAACAGTGCCGTTTTGTAGTGGCCTTCCTCCTTGACTGTGTTGCTTTCAAGGATGGCCAGAGCTTGTTTGTCTTCAACTGACAAGGTGGACTCAGAGAGAACTCGCTTGGTTGAGTAAGAGTCGATCTCCCAAAATCGTTCGATTTGATGCTGCAATGTAGTCTCTCTATCTGATGCGAGAAAGTTTGCACTAATTGTTTCACAGTGTCCTTGATTCACATTTCCAAACAGCGTCCATCCAAGTCTTTACTGCGATGGGCTCATCCCGTCGCCCCTGGCGGACCTCAAGGTGAATCAATAAGTGAGCCATGTCAGCTCCAATGAGAACCATCACGTCACCACCTTGGAGTTCAGGAAGATCTACGTCAGATAAGTGATTCCACTGCTCGACGGTCCTTTTCGTCGACAACTTGAGAGATGGAATGTTGAGTTTTTTGATGACCCAAGCTCCATGCACCATAACCGGGTCTGGCTGTTCTTTAGAGGAAAGACTAAAGCTTACCCTGTCTAAGTTCTGAGTAGTAGCTTCATTGCCAACTGTATTAATGTTAAGGCGATATGTCTCGCCAACAAGTTGTAAGCGTTCAGCTAAGTCTTTCCTAATCAGGGTTGAGTCACTTCCAGGATCAAGGACAGCATATGTGTCAACCGTGTTCCCTTGACTATGAATTCGAACTGGGAGCACTTGAAGGAGGACCTTCCGCTGAGGTTGAAAACAGACTTGGTTGATGTTGGTCTGGACGATGGGCAACGAATTTGACACCGGTTCTGGGTTACGAGCATTTTCCTTTGGAGAAGCCGATGTTTGGATAAAGCTACTTTCGTTGCTGGTGAGGCTAGGACGCGACTCTACTCGAAGATCCTCATGTAAAAGGGTGTGGTGGG